AATAATAATAATAATAATAATAATAATAATAATAATAATAATAATAATAATAATAATAATAATAATAATAATAATAATAATAATAATAATAATAATAATAATAATAATAATAATAATAATAATAATAATAATAATAATAATAATAATAATAATAATAATAATAATAATATTCCCTTAAATTTAAGCTTAGTTTAAAAATAAAATGACTAATACTTCCAATTACTTGTACCGTCTAGTACATGCTTATGACGTTTTATAGCTAGTGCTTCAGTTCCTATTTGCTTTGCATCTATTTTCTCAATCAATAACATGGTAAAGGAAAAAATAGAATATAATAAAATCTCTGGATGGTACCAACCTGAATAAGATCTTTGGATGGTACCAATCTGAATAGTAACAACCTGTATTAAGTAATTGTCATTTCGTATAGACGAAATGAAATTATTTTAAAGATATATGTTGTGAAGGGTGAAAAAGGTAATATTTTTGAGAGGATAATTAATGGTCAAAAAATTTTTAGGATCAAATATTCGAAAGATCTAATTTAATCCAATTTATAACCTAATTTTACTATTTGAAAAGTTTTCAATTTTAAACTTCAAAACTTTCAAATTTCTTAAATATTTTCAACATATTCAACTTTTTTTTGAAGCTGATATTTTAAAATCTTTATACAATATTTGAAATGACAATGTCATTTCAAATTTTCAATTGGCATTTTAACTTTAAGTTGACGTTAACATTTTAAACATTTAATTTGAAACTTTTTTAGATGAGTTTTTTAAAAAATTTAATCAAGTGGTTCAAGTGATGAAAATGTAAAACATTATATGACACATATGACAATTTTTTACATCTCTTACTAATTTGTGAATAATATTTCTCTTAAAATTCTGTGAAAAAAAAAGAAAATGAAGTTTTATTATAATTTTTTAATGTAGAATTTTACAAAAATAATAAATTATGCTAACAATAGGGCTCATCATTGCCCTTTTTATTTAATATTTGATATTTTTGCTTATTATTCCTATTTCTCACTAATAGCTATGCCTTCAAAAAGTTAAAAATAAAAATAAAATCAATGGATGAATTTGTTTAATTCAACTCAATTCCTTTGTTATTACTTTTATCTTGAAATTATTTTTCACTTCGAAATTATCGTTAAATTTTAAATGTCAAAGAATGAAGGCATAAAGTTTGCTAGCATATGAATTATCATCATAAATGTAATTTTATCATAAAATATTAAAATTTCATACGTCATTTCAATATCGTTTCAAATAAATATCATAACTTGCAATTAATTCATGTAATACAATAAATTAATTAATTATATATTTTTGATTAGCTAAAAGATATGCAAGAAATATTGAGGAAATATAATTAGTGGATAAAGTTGACGAATTTGTTTTACGATTAACCAAAACTTTTAATTTGATAGTTTTTATAATATACTATTAATTAAAATTATATCAATTGATAGGAGAAAAATTTTGAAATTTATGGAGATAATAAAAGTTTTAGGTAAATTTTGATGATAATTTGAAAGGGATTTATTGCATCCAATCGAAAATACTGCAAAAGAGTTGTTCAATTTCTCAACTATTTTCCTCCCTTTCAATTTCCACTCACTAGTTTTTGTTTTGTTTTTGTTTTTTTTTTTTGCATTAGTTGAAAAAAAATTTCGTCTTTTTTTCTAATCTAATTTCTTTCGCTTTCTTTTTTTTCTTTCTTATAATACCATTTTTTTATTTAACGTTTTATTTTTTATTTTTATATTTCAATTACTTTCAAGTTTACTAATAATAATCACCTTTGCATCATACAATGTTTATGTTTTATTTTTACTTCATTTTTTTCAAGTATTTCAATTAATTTCTCAATCAATTCTTCCTGTTATCATTGGATATTTATGGATTATTTTCAAAAATTTTATATATCTTCTCTTATGTGCTCTATTTTGTATATTAAACAATTTAATCGCATGCAAAGATTTAAAAAATTCCAGTGAAAGATACAAAAAATTCTAAATTATTTCAGGGTGAATGACAGAATCGTTTCAAAAATATTAAAATTTTTACACCAAAAATATTATCAACGGAAAATGATTGCAATATATATTGCTAAAACTATTTATACTTTCTACATATTTAAACTTTTATATCAGTGATAGAATTTAAAATTTGTCAACTATGATATAAAAGGTTCATCAACATTAATATCAGAAATATGCAAAAATAAAACTAAATTAAAATTGACCATTTGTTCATAATATTCATTCGAACTTATTTCAAAATTATCATAACTTTGTTATGTCACAGTGATTCTTTTACGATAATTTTCAAATTTTCTGCTTGAGATTATCTTAATTATTATTTATTTATTCATAAATAAAAAATGATGCAATTTCTTCCGCTGGTTATTTCGATTTTTAACTTATTATTATTAATCAATATCACTTTTAATTTAATAATATAAATTACGCATTGCAATTATATATAAATTATTGATTTTTCCCAAAATTTACAAATTTCAAATATAACCTTGTAAAATTAATACTTAATAAAGAAGTAAGATTAAGTTTTCAATATCAATGATTCAATATGCGGAAATTATTTTCAACTAATTGAATTTATTATTTTTATTTTTTTCTTTCCTTTTCATTTTATTTTATTTTTTTTTCTTTTTTTTTCATTTTTTTTCATTTTAAATAGAATTTTAATTAGTATTAGACATTATCGAAACAATTATACAATTATATATAAATTATTGATTTTTCCCAAAATTTACAAATTTTAAATATAACCTTATAAAATTAATATTTAATAAAGAATGAAATTAGAGTTTTCAAATTTTTTCATATTTTTATTCGGAATACATAACATATTTTTTAGCAGTGTAAAATGAGGTGATGCTTTCAATGAACGTTGTATTTTTTCATGCACTTTATGATAATAACAAATATCCTAAAAGTTGTTTTTTGTTTTTTTTTGTTTAAAACTCACCTCAGATTATTTTGATGTTTAGTGAAGCATTTCTCACTAAAATCATTTCTTATATTTTTTCCAACCAACAACAACGTTTTTTCTTCCTTTCATTCCTTTTCTTC